GTGGTGGATTCTCATTCAATTCCTGCAGTAACTTTTGGAAACATTTGACTAAAAAACTATGAATACATTGCTTCTGATAAAATAATGAAATTTCGTCTTTCATATATCTAATCGTGCAGATGGTCGAGGCCATCCATTGAATGCTGAGATGAAAATATGCCCAACCTGCCAAGGCTTGGGGAAAGTGAGTCTTCTCTGTTAAATGCTTTGATGGGAAGTCATTATCTATCTTTCTTGCCCTCTTTCACTACGGTGGTGTATTTTCTATTCTACCAGAAAATTTTAACATTTTTGGTGTCTTATTTTGACTGCTAATGCTATTAGGCAACAGTTCCACCGTTTATAACAACATGCAGCACCTGCAAAGGACTTGGGCGCATCACTAAGGTCTTGTTATTTTCTTTTTATCATTATTTTTCTATAAAGTATCTATATTCTCTTACACAATTTTTTATTTTACATATTTGTAAGGATTATTGCAAGGCATGCAAAGGGTCAGGGGTGGGCAAAGGAGTCATGGAAGTTAAAGTAGCTATACCTGCAGGTTGTTTTTCCAAGTGTCCTTATTATCTCCCTCCTGGCTCTGCTGTGCTTATTATTGGTTGGAAGTTTATGACTTCAAGTTAATGTGATGGAGCAAATCAAATTTGATGCTTGCGTTCTGCTCAAGTGGGCTGGTTGTAACTTTTGGGTAGATTCTATTATATTGAGCTTGACAAGCAGGAGAGAGTTTAGGAAATCTTAGGTGAAGAAAGGTCTTAAGCTTTAGCAGCAATTAACTTGCAGGAAAAATGTTGATTAACAATTCAAGTTTCTTAATATAATTTGCATCATCCGTGTTGTTTAGATGTGTTAGAAGTTATGCTCGTCCCATATCGATTAGTTACTGGGCTGTTATCGTGTATAAGTGTGCTTGGGCATCCTCTTCCTTTTAGCTAGCTTTTGGGGATGAGTTCCACCCTGCCCCATTTATCAAGATGTAATAAATTTTGTTTCCATGTTGACTTTCATATCTCTGTATAACTCTAGATTTGGTACTGTGCGCCACAACTCTGAACAATGCCTTCAATATTTCTGAATTCGGTCCAATTTTGACTGTGCCGTGATTCACCTTTTAAACTGTCTTTTCTTTTTTGATAAACTATCAATCTTTTCTTGTTCTGGTTTTTGTATACTTCCCTTTGTTCATTTAGTGAATTCTTATTGTGCTTGATATTTTATAGGTGTGGATCATGTTCATTTAGTGAATTCCTTCGTGTTTGTGATTGCATAGGTGTGGAATCTGGTGATACTATTCGTGTAGCAAAAGCTGGGAATTTTGGTAGAGGGGGAAAGTCTTCTGGCAACCTATTCATAAAACTAAAGGCAATGTCATTTTAGATCTTCTGTTTGGTCGCATCACCCTAACTAACTTATTATTTATTCTCTCTTCTAATCCATGAATCTTCATTTTAGATTGACAATCAGTTACATGCATATTCTTCTAACTAATAGTTTTTCCAAAATATGTATATGTATACATATCTTTTCCATACCCTTTTTTTTTTTCAAAAAAAGATGAGAAAATATAAGAAATAATGAAAGACCTCAGAGATCTATTTAAAACTAGGATAGCTCTGAACTTACTTTCATGTATTGTAGTTTGACGAATTTGTAATGCGGAACTGATAATGTATTTTTTTGGGGGTGTGTGTCTTAAGAAGTCTGCGGTGATGCTTTATGAAACAATTACCCGTCTCTATGTCGGTCAGAACCCTTTTTATGAATCTGCGTCAGCGTCACAATAAATCTATGAATCATTACATTGTTAATAACCTGCTAGTCAAACAGAAATGGTGAATTATGATATTGTACATAATGTTAATAATATGTTTTTCCGGTATTATTCAAATTTTGCTCTCAGTTATCTCTGCAACCTATTTTGATTGATTGAATCTCTGCCATTATATTCTGTATTGGTGATACAATTTATAATGTATATTTGAATAGCTTTACCTGCTGAATAATTTTATCACCAATTCATATTTGTGATTGCACAACATGAGAAAGTTGTCTATCCTCATGACTAGACTTTCCACCCTCCACTGGTCTACATAGGTTTAACACTGTAGCTAGCAATTTCACCTTGGTTCATAGGAAGCCGATAGACATATTGCTGCTAAGTAATTGGTGCTCTTACTATTTGTTTTGGCTCTAATTGTTTTAATATTTTGACTATTTCATGATTCTTCTATTCAGGTTGCAGAAGATCTTAAATTTTCTAGGGAAGGCTCTGACCTTTATGTGGACACTTGTATTAGCTTTACTCAAGTGAGGACCATTACTTCTCTCTCTCTCTCTCTCTCCTTACAGTAAAAAGTTTTGGGGGTGTCTTTCAGTTCCTGAAACGATATATTCGTTTTACATATTTAGGGTAGTGATATATTTACTTGAATTAAAAAAACACACAGGCTTCCAAGCGCAATCACCGATTTCCCTCTGGCTGACGTACATAAATACCGCGAATCTTGATTTTTTTGATACCCTAAGATACTTAACCCTACTACATAAGTAGAAAAAACTAGCTTTGCAGAAACGAAAACCCAGTAGCTAACAATAAATTACTTTATTAAGAGTTTCTTAACATTCAGAAAGATAATTAATTATCAGCATAGACTATGAATATTAGGCATTCAAATTCACATTCTCTCCTTTTGGAAGTTACAAGCAACCTAACTTGAGTCAATTCTTCTTGAAAAGCTTCCTTACTAGTAGGTCACTTTATTTCATGTGCAAACTCAGCTGGATTAAATGCATGGCATATAACTCATTTGACCATCAACTTTGTTATTGAAGTGCTTCTCAATTCTTTAAGAATTCTATTTTCTTGTTGTACCATCAAATCATTCCACTATCAACTTTTGTCCACATTCTCTCTCTTCTCATGAAAAATGGATTGTGATAAATTACAGTTTCTACTTGTCATAGTTGAGCTTACTGCAAGGAAGTAATGACTTCTAGTTGCCTTCTTATCCTTTAATTTAGGGTTGTAAACGAATCAAATCAAAGCGAATACTAAGATATTCGATTCGGATTCGTTATAATATTCGAGGATTCGAATTCGTATTCGATTTGTTAACGAACTCATTTTTTGATTCGTACTCGATTCGTTTAGAATATTCGAACATATTCGATTCGATTCGAAATTCGTTTTGAGGAAAATATTATAATTACAAAAATAATTTTTATGTTTTTCCATATTTTTAGGGAAAATTGTTAATTTAGGATGTTTTTTTACTTTTTATGTCATAAAAATATTAGGAATATAACAATATATATATACACATATATATTATAAACAAAATGTATACTATATATAATTTATAAAATTTATATAATTATTGTTAACGAATCGAATATCTACAAATTCGAATTCGGATTCGCTTAACTTTCGAATATATAACCTTATTCGCATTAGAATTCGAATTCGAATATTTCGAATTCGAATACCGAATCGAATCAAAAAATTCGATTTGTTTACAAGCCTACTTTAACTTATCTTTTTGTTTCTCATTACAAGTTGCAAAAATACATCCAACGGTGCAACATTTTAATATTTATTTTTTATCTACAATATTCACTGGACTCAAGGCAATATCCTTCTTGCCATGAGTTTGAAGGTCACGGGTCAGGCCTTCTGTGATTCGATTTTAGATCTACTTAGTGGTTAAATGAACTGATTGGTTATATTCACACCATAAAGGCCGTGCTTCATCACCGATGCACATTCTTAAAGAACTACAAATTTGAGCAGGCTTGGTCTCGAGCTGACTAAGAATGAGCGACCGGTGGGAAATTTCCAATAAAACATGTAAGCTGTTGGGTTATCACAAAATAAAGCAGCAGCAAGTAATAACTAGTACATTACTACTAATACTACTGCAGGTGAAAGTAAACTAACCACAAAATATGCGGAAAACCAAAGTCAAGGAGAACATGCACCACGTTGATAACGGAAGTTGGCTAATATTCCCGACATTTTTGGGAAAAGCCAACCACAACGATCACTTCACTAATCTCCCGAACACATTACAACTAGAGATATAACCTACAAATGGGGATATCTTAATTAAGGATTTTCTTATAAGATTAAAGAGATGAAAATAAAGTGCAATACTGCAATTATGACACACACACACACACATATTTGTTATAAAAATGATGTAGGATACAAAATCTAGTAAAAAACTAACATGAGTAAGGACAGTGCATGTTGGGAATCTAAAAACCTGTATTTTGAAAGCCAGGTGGAATGTCCGTGGTAACTTCTTTGTAAATCTCCGTTGAAAAATTCATTTTTCACATATCATCAAATTAGCATCTGGACAGGATTTTCTAAAATTCATTCCCACGTCTGCATATTTTGGTTTTCTTGTCATTTTAAGCTGTAGCAAAAGTTTTAGATTTTGGGCGTTTGTTTCTTGTGTCCGTTATCTTGTAGAAATGAACATTAGGTCTACATTCTTAGTTATCATTAGATGTTAAATATAAGATAATATACATTACACTTCACTGGCTTTGTATGATTTACTGCTTACTGGTCCGATACCCCTGTATCTTATGAACTCCTATTACTCGTGCATTTTGATCGTATTTATTATTAGGATATGTTAAACAGCAATCTATGATTGTAATGGGTGGTTTTCCTAAATTTTTTTGCTCCTATAATTATTATTAATTTATGTTAAATAGGAATCTAAAATTGTAATGGGTGATTGTCATGAATCTTTTTTCTCCTATAAATATTATTATTATTAATTTATATTGAATGGGGATAAACTGTGGCAATGGGTGTTTTTTATAAATCTTTTGCTTATATTACATCTTTAACGGCAAAGTTGGTGTATCAAATGCTTATTCTTACAATGAGCAATTCCCTTGTGGTGCATTGTATAAAAAGAGAATTTGGTTAGCAAGGTTTCTAATTGTTGTGAATTTGTTGTTTCAAGTTTTAGTACAGTGTTAGTAGCTTATTATATTCTCTTTTGGCCCATGATTAAAAGGTTATAGTTATGCTCATTAATTAAGACTAAAGAATACAATTTTAAGAATGATAAATTTTCTCATCCATTTTAGTTCATGTGAGAAAAGGATTCGCAAAACTGAAGTTTTTGTTGTTTGGTTTCTGTGGTAACAGGCTATTCTTGGTGGTAGCGTTGAGGTACCTACACTTTCTGGGAATATGCAACTGCAAGTATGTATTATCTTTCCTTGAGATATTATATTCTATTTTCTGCGCCTTCAAGAAGTTTCCATTGATTTCTCTCAAGAATTTCATCTGAGATACATTCTATAATACTTATGTACTTGTGTTAGCAATTTTTGCAGGACCTCTAGGGAGATAGATGTAATTGATCCCACTCTATGTTAATTAAGACATGTCTAATATATATTTTTGGAATTATTTTGGATTGCATTTTGTTTAGTTTAAAGCGGAAAAACAAAACAAAAACAAAGATGAAACCGATAAAAAAGCAGAATTTAATTCAACAGAAATTAACATGTAGTATAATTATTTGCACATAAATTTCATTAGCAACTACGGCTTTTAGGTTTGTATAAAAAATGCCTACTGCTGCATCAAATGGAGAGATTTGATGATTATCTATTTAGCCTAGTTTTATAGCTTACATACTGTTAGTTATTGACAAAATTGTAGAGAATTTTTTCAATTTCTTTTCATCTTATCTAATTTGTTTCTCGTTCTTTCTTTTATTTTGTCTTTGAAAAATAGATAGTACGATTCCCGTGTTTATATTTAAAAAAAAACAGTATTCAGGTAATTGGAATTGGATTCTAACCTAAAATTCTTCTGAAAATTTCTATTTCAATCAATGGGAATGAACTCCAACTATCTTTATAGATGCATAAGGACTAAGATTGGATCTTTTTTTTTTTTTTNCTTTTTTTTTTTTTTCCCTCTTTCCTGCTGTCCTTTTTTTCGTTAAAGTGTATACGATTTGAAATGTATGAGGATGCCTTTGCAATTTATAAAACTCTATCCGTCCTAAAGGGATATGCTAAATGATGTGTTCTGGGCTTCACGTTCCCCCTAGTCATTGTAGAAATTATGAGTTGGCTAGAGGGTGGAGTTAGTTCGTACTTCCTTGCCGCTACTAAGCATTCTTTGCAGAAAATAGACTGTATTAGGTAAGTTAACTTTTATTTCTATGATATTACTAACGTTCACCGTGTTCTTTGTTGTACAATTGGGCTCATTCCAGATACCCAAGGGGGTTCAACATGGGCAACTGGTGACACTAAGGGGCAAAGGTATGAGCTTTGTCTTAGTTTGGGCTTTATCCTCTCTTTTCTAATTTACTGATGAGCATCATGTACTAAAGGGTTGCCAACTGGCGGTTTTTTTGTTGGCCGTGGAAATCAGTATGTACGCTTCAGCATCAAGTTTCCTATGTAAGTTTTTCTTCTTACTGCATTCTTTTTTGTCACAAATACATCTAAGGGTAAACGTCGGTTTACATGCGATATAACGTTTACTTGTATAATTTTTGTACGATGCAATTCCAGTAAAACCACAGGATGCTCGACTAAAAAAAAAAATTGGTTTAAAAAAAATTAACAAATTCCTGAAGGTAAATGCTAAAAATTTAACAACCACTGTCATTGAAGGTTGCAAGTTCTTTGCTGTGTGGTGGCTACCACATTGTGGTACCATGTTTTAGATATCTTATTATTTATAACATATTTGCTGCAGAATATGTTCAGGTTATTGATCTTGTTTTGAATAATTGTGTTGATAAAATTGAGAAAAAAATGTCATAGATGAACAATAATTTTTAAATTGAAAAAAATAAAGATGTAGACAGTCGTAGTTCCAGTGAAAAAGTTATATCCATTCGCAGGTTTAAGACTTTTATTTATCTCTGATCCTTTATCACTTTGCCACTAAAGAAATGTAGTTTACCTTGTTGCGAATTAAGACTTTTATTTATCTCTGATCCTTTATCACTTTGCCACTAAAGAAATGTAGTTTACCTTGTTGATTAATTTATTCTTCGTTTTGTTTTTTCTTCAGAACTGTTACCGAAAGACAACGTGTTATACTGGAGGAGTTGGAGGAGACTATAATTGATGAAAATAACAAAAGCCCTGAACGTAGTTGGTGAGTCCATATATGCATTTATATGTACCATATAAAAAAAAAAAAAAAANAAAAAAAAAAAAAAAAATTCTAGCCACCCGAGCCCGTATGAACTTTAAACTGCATCTTTGAACTATGTGAATGTGTAAATCAACAATATGAAGTATGAGAGCTGATTAAAAAATTGCATCACACGAAATGCAAAAAATATCTTCAATGGAAAAACTACAAATTACAACAAAATCTTCATGACTCATGAGCTGTGTTGTATGCCCTAACAAAGTTGAAAAATACTAAAACTGTGTTTGGTAAGCATCATAGCTTTACTTGTAGCTTATTTAGTTAGCTTAATAGCTTTCTGTATCCAAATAAACTTAGTTTGGTATCCAAATAAGTTTAGTTTGGTAGAATGAGTTTTTTTTTTCTTAAAAAAGATCTAACTTATCTCATAAAATTTCTATTTTAGCTGACTTCAGCTATTTTTACGGAATACTTTTATTTTATCGACTAGTTTTTTACCCATTAGCTCAAAATTCACTTGTTAACTTATGAGTTATCAACTAGCTTTTCAGCTTGGTTTACCTAACATTGCCTAAGATTGTGTTTGCTAAAACTTTAAATTAGCTTATTGCTTAATTTAGGTATGTTATAAGCTTCTTTTAAAAAGTTAGGACCTTATAAGCCTCTTAAGGAAAAAAGTAGTAGTAACTCATTATTTTATGATTTACACCCTTTAAATAGAAGGACTCCTTGATTCAAGGAGCAGAAAAGGAAATGAAATATCCTATTTTATCTGAAGAAATCAAATATTTTAAAAATCCAAATCAAATCTTAATCCCTGATTCTATGAAATCAAATCTCAAACTTTTCAACACTTCCCTCAAGTGGGTGCATAGATATCAATCATGTCTAACTTGTTTATTAAGTGTTCAAAGTGAGATTTTGGTAGCCCCTTAGTGGAGATGTCAGGCCGTTTGCTCCCGAGCTTCAAGTTTTTCCTTTATAAAGTATCGATCAATTCATTGTGCTTTGTTCGATCATGTTGGACCTGATTGTGAGCAATGCTTGTCTTATTGTGTGAGTACCATCTCATAGGAGTTTTGCAACCTTTTCTAGTTCATTGAGGATTCTTGAAATCCACAAATAGCTCACTAATTCCTTGAGCCATAACTTTGAACTCCGCCTCTGCACTACTTCTCGAAACAACAGTTTGTTTCTTGCTTTGCCATATAACAAGATTTCTCCATACAAAGGTACAATACCCTGAAGTAGATCTTTTGTTGACAACCGTACCAGCCCAATCTGCATCAGTAAATACTTTTACACTCCTTTGATCAGATTTTTTTTTTTTTTTTAAAAAAAAAAAAAAATGACATTTTCCAGGAGTGGACCTCAAGTATGTCAAACTTCGATAAACAACCTCAAGACCTTCATAAGGTGTGTATGCATAACTAACACTTACCGGAAGGCAATATCTGGTTGAGTATGAGATAAATAAATCAACTTTCAAACTAATCTCCTTACCTACCAGTATCAATTGGAACACTCTCTTTCGCCAAAAACTTCACATTAGGATCCATAGGCGTCGCAGCCAACCTACCTTTTCTCGAAAATACATTTTCTCGAACGAGCAACTTCCATGCCAAGAAAATATCTAAGCGCTCCCAAATCTTGATCTCAAATTCTGCTGCAAGGCTGTTTTTACGTCTCTCAAGTTTAGCCATGTCATCACATGTGAGAATAATGTGGTCGACAAAAAATAAGTATTGTAACTTTTTCTCCAGAAGAGAACTTGAAGAACAAGGTATGGTTAGCTTGTCCCTGAGAGTATCCTTTCTTGACGGTCTGTGAACTTTTCGAACTAAGCCCTTGGAGACTATTTGAGACTGTACAATGACTTGTTTAACTTGCACACGTTTGAGCCCAATTTTTCAAAACCAGGTGGTTGTCCATGTATACTTCTTCTAGCTTGCCATTGAGAAATGCATTTCACATCTAGTTGTTGCAGTGGCCAGTCTAAATTAGTGGCAATTGATAAAAGTACCCTTACTGGGTTTAATTTTGCAATCGGGGCAAAGGTATCGGAGTAGTGAATGTCATATGTCTGTGTCAATTCCTTGGCCACCAACCTAGCTTTGTATTTAAATGAANAAAAAAAAAAAAAAAAAAAAAAAAACCTAGCTTTGTATCCTTTGATTGAACCATCGGACTTGTCCACAGTGAAGACCCATTGACAACTCAGTGCTCTTTCCAAGTACAGCTTCCCTCCATTTAGGAACTTCCATTCGTAGGAATTTGTACACTCAATAACTGAGAGGTAAAAGCAAGAAGAGCTGATAATTTCAATATGATACAAACATGGACATAGGATGACTTGTACAAGACCTGACCTCTTTACAAAGAGCTATAGGAATGTTAAGATCAAAAGGCTCGAAGTGAGCATTAGAGAGATATTTACCAGAATCTTGTTATTGAACTTTCCTTGGGATGGAATCATGGTCTTGTTGTGCAGTAGATTCATCTTTATTTTTCTCATGATTCTTCTTCGAGTAAAAATTCCCTTTCCAAGAATTTTATTAAGTAGAAGGACTCCTTGATTCAAGGAGCAGGAAATGAAATATCCTAAGAGCACCCACAATGCATTGGGTCTAATTTTACATATGTGGCATATAAATAGACTTAAGTCCTAAATGACATGGACAAATCCAAGTAAAAAAACTCAAAAGCTATTCAATGCAAAAATAAAATACTAGGTCTAGCATACATGCCAACCAATAAAAATGCTCTAATATGTTTACTTTACTAAAAGAAGATTTAAATTAGGAATAAATGATGAGTGTTTGGGTTTGTACTTGGGTCCAAAATAGACCCAAGTGTGGACTTGGTCTCTTTTTTTTATTGCCACATAAGCTAGACCATGTCCACTTTTAATTGCATTGGGAGACATTTTTTAATAGACTAAGTCTATTTCCTATGTGGCATATGATATTTTATTAAGAGACCCAATGCATTGTGGGTGCTCTAAGAGTATGAAGAAATCAAATATCCTAAAAATCCGAATCAAATCATAATCCCTGATTCTATGATATCAAATCTCAAACTTTCTGACAGCTTCCTTAGGTAGCTTTTAGAAAAAGCTCGTTGAAATTTTTATTTCAGCTTATCAGCTAATTGTACCACACTTTTATTATATTAGCTAGTTTTTTGGCCATAAGCTATTAGCTGTAAACTCGAAATTCACGTATAAGATATCAACGAACTTTTCAGCCAGGTTTCCCAAAAAGAGCCTAAAAAAAGTCCCACAACACCTCTGGATTTGAAATGGTTCCCTTAGTCACTACCCTCCACCTCCAAGTGTTACGAATCTCCAACTTTAAGTGGCACGTCACCTCAGAAATCCATGTCCATAGTAAAACAAACAAAAATAGAAAAATCCAAGAATAAAAATGTAGAAAAAAGAGAAACTGCAGTACTGCACCAAGAGGACACCTAGTAGTTTTGCTTCAGAAGTTTGAAAAAATGACACATGCCAAATCCATATACAATTTCTTTGAGCCAATATCGATTTTCTTTTCTCAGATTTCTTCAAAGTTGTGGCCTTTCTCTGTTTGTGAATGAAGTCATGTGGAGGAATTGGTAGTTCAGAAGATGAAAAGGCCAAATTTTGCCGTTTGCCTCCACATCATAGGATAAGCTCGCAATTGTAAGAACATTAACAATAATTTCTTTGAAAGTGGGCATTGGAACGACGGTAATGGGATATATAGACACGAGGAGCAGTCTCACTTCGTGAAAAGATTAGAATAACCCTCAAATACCACGTTTTAAAATGTTTTCATATAGAAATCGTATGGCTAAATGACAAAGCAGCCAAAATTCTGATAAAAAGAGTTACATTTTTCCTCTCTTTTTCTGTGTTTTGGTTGTATGGAGAAACTGCAGCATGTCAATGGGTCAAACGAAAATGATCTGTAAAATACTATGTTGAAACCATACTCACTTCATTGTATAGTTAAAACTCAAAACTTAATGTGTGCATCTATTATATTATAGTTACATGGATACAACCAAATAGTAATATACATGTATAGATATACATGTCTATAGATACGCATTAAAGCATATATATAGACTGTTGTAAGTAATCACGTGCAGCGTGACTAAGGTGGTGGTGGTGGAGGATACTAATGTGATGTATTAAGGGGATCACATTAAGTCATGGAGCTGGGTGTTGGTGGTCTTTGTAGATATTTGTCGTTGCTTTAATTACCAATGTTTGCAAAAATATAGTTGAAGTTGATAGAAGTATGCAAAAATCTAGAATTTTATAGCAATAAGAAAGTGAAAATGGAAAGGAAAGAAACTTTAGGTGCAGACAATATTTCTGTTATTTTAACATGCACGAGATCTGTGGAGAACCTTGGGTCTGTTGGCATAATCACACGAGTTATGTAGTTCAAACTGAAAATGAAATAATCCAAAAGCATTTTTTTTTTCAATACAACCAAAATCAGTTTTGGATTATTAGACTAATGGCACTGCATCTGAACAAAATACAGAGTTACAAACTGGAATGTATCTATCTGCATACTTGATCACCATTCTGAATGTGGTGAATATCTGGTAATGTTTTAGCAGGATTTACGAGCGGCTATGTACTGGTTGAACTTACAGGTGGCAGAATTGGGTTGAACTTGCAACTGCTCATACGAAGCTCATACTTGAGATCTCAGTCATGCTTTTGCTGATGTTCCTATTGCTTGGCTGAAGTCCTGAAAACAACAGCTGCTGCATGCACGAGCATACTATAGAGATTCATTGGTGTATCGGTGCATGAATTTTATCATCCATGAGGCGGGCTGTGTGCACAAATTTTAAGTTAATTGGTAAGAAAAAGATTTGGTAAATACCCAAAAATATGATGCTTGGGCTAGCAAAAACTCATAATACGAAATGGATCGTGTAACGAAAGAGATTTTACACCATGGTGGAGTTTGATTTTGGGTCATCTTATTCCTTCGTATAGTATTGTAATGAAATTTATTTTTATGATATAATATGTAGATAAAATAACTCCAACAGCTCCCTTCCCATAGGGTTTTTGGAAATCTGATGTACATTTTTTTTTTTTTCTTTTGAAAAAAATAAATGTTCGTTTATTAGGTATGTGAATTTTAACACCATCTTCGTTTATCAGGTGCTCATCAAAATGTTAGTCAATGTTGCAATCTCTTATAGATTGTTCTTATAATGGAAAACAGTGAGAAATGCAGGTTTGTGATATAAAATATTGTTGATACAGTTATTGTAAAGGAAAATCAACTTCATATCATTTCATATTTGTATATCCACTCTTAATTCTATGTTTTATTGTGGAACTAATATTATTCTTATGTTCAGTTTAAATGGTATGGGAGATTGTGGCGAGTGGGATAGGTTGCATGTTTGATATATTATTATTACAAGAAATAATAATAATGATAATAATAATAATAATAATAATAATAATAATATTGGGCGGGTTAGAATTGTATGTTTAAAATATAGTATTATTTAAAATACACACATTTTCATATTTTACAAGAAATATACTACTACTATATACTACTACTAATAATAACAAGCGACGGTAAATCACTCTAAAAAAAATACATAAAATGGTACATTAAGCATAAAGATTCGCATTGTCGCATTCTCGCATAAAGAGTGGTATTTAAATGAAAAAAATGATAAAACTTTTCCACTAAAATTGTTGTACACATTTTTTATTATCTTATGCATTGATTCTCTTCTGTTTATGTAGTGAGATCGGAAATGTTACCTTTTTGCTTTATTTGATTAAAAGAGATCTCAATTATCAAAGAGATTTGTTAAATATAAAATACATAAATATTGGGATTTTTTTCCCCAACAATACTCTTTCTTACGAGTGTTATGTAATTTATTAAAAATATCAAAAACAAAACTCAAATAAAATTATTGTTGTTTGTAGTTTCTTAGCATAATTCGTTATTATTTAAGAATATAATTAGGAATATAAGAGATATTAGACAATGAAAAATGTGAATGGCATAGAGAACCCTCACGAGAAATATGACAATAACTGTCATCAGTTGTCTAAATAGAAGTATCATCAGTGACCGCTTGATTGCATAGAGAACACTCATGAGTGATATCATGAGTGATTTGACAAGAACCACCATCAGTTATCTGAATAAAAGTACCGTCAGTGACCGCCTTGCAAGCAACCAACTGGAACTGAGCAAATGTCACATGAAAAAATGCCATTGAATCGAGGACCCAAGACTGAGGAGCATTGACTGGAGAGGCAGTGACTGCAGATACGGACCCCTTTGTAGCAGAAATCATACTACGAGCCTGAGCTTCACAACATGCACGATACTCAACCATTTTTTTTAGATGATGAGTCAAAAAATTCTCGGCACCATGACATGTCTTCCCACGCGATGATTACGAATGTCTGAGGAACCACAGTAGGTGTACTAACCCGTGGAGAATATGTCCTTTGAGAAATTGAGAAGTTGCCAGTACACTATGAGATGCTGGCAGAGAAGCAATAAACAAAGAATGAAGACAAGTCTCTTCAACAATCAAATCAGATAACACTTTTGTCATGGTTAGAGTATAAGAGTTGTGAAGCAACCTTATACGAATGGACTCAAATTTCTCCAACAGTCCCATGACAATGCGATATATAAAGAATTTCTCAACCAATCGATGTGTTGAACACTTCTCTTTTGTGCATCGAGGTACTATGTAGATAAGTGGTCCCATCAAGCGATCAAAAGTAGAATGGTACTCATCAATAGACATCTCATTTTCTTCCTCACATTAATTTGTTGAATGAGTGTGTGCAAAAATGCACCACTATCCTGATCGAACATAGCGTCGTTGTAAGTAAGACCACATTGTCTTTGTTGTCCTAAAAGAGGAAAGGCTATAATATCGTAGACTACTTGATGCTATTGACAATGACAACTATCACTTTCTCGTCGTTAATCTGACAGTTTTGATCTCAACAACATTACTATTGTCGGGCTTTCGTTCAGGTCCATCATCAGTCAAATGGATGGCTAAACCATAGCCCCTCAACACGGTTTCCACAGAGAAGACCCACGTCCGACCATCGAGAGCAATATTTCTAGCAATCGCATTAAGTTGCAACATGATCCAGTGATGACGAAAGTTGTTCCTCCGGTTTGGGCGGACGAACACGAAAAGAGATGTGTCACGGGCAGTACGAGCCGCAATAAATGATGTTGATAAACAGGCAACGTAGATGACTGTAAATGAAACCCTAATCCGAATCTAAAACAGACCACCAAAATCACCCAAAACAAAAGGCAAAGAACACTGGTAGCAACCTCGGAAGATTCTGAGTCTACAGTAGGTCGCCAAAAAAATTCTGGCAAAGCACGCGCCCGCACGTGAGACTGGCTGCAGGCTGCGTGGCGGTGCGTGTGGGTCACACGCGCTGGTCCAACAGGCGACGCTTGGCCATAAGAAAGAACTGGGGACGAGTGGACGACGAGACTAATGGTGCAGAAGGTGAGAACCAAAT